TTCAGGTCCTCCTCAGTTTCAGCAAGCAGGGTTGTATAATCTGCATAACACAGGATGTTGATGATTCTTCCACCAATCTTCATGCCACATTCCTCTTTGTACAGCCCAGCGTCTCAGATAATCTGTTCTGCATACAAATTGAAAAGGAATAGAGACAGAATACATCCCTGAAAGATCCCTTCTTGATTTTGAACCATGTAGATTTTCCTTGCTCTGTTCTGACGACTGCCTCTTGGTCCAAGTATAGGTTTCGCATTAGCACAATCAAACGTTCTGGGATTCACGTTCTTCTCAGAGTCAGCCACAGCTTGTTGTGATCCACACAGTCAAAAGCCTTTGCATAGTTAATTAAGCACAGATAGACATTCTTCTGGTGTTCTCTGCTTTCTGCCAAGATCCATCTAACATTAGCTATAATACCCCCAGTACCATGACCTCTTCTAAATCCAGCCTGTACATCTGGAAGTTCTCTGCTGACATATTGTTCCAAACGTTCTTGGATAATTTTCAGCAGAACCTTGCTTACATGTGATATTAACATAAAAAAAAGCCTCATCAGTGGACCAACAGACACTATCATTTGATATGGAGAAAAGCCTGAAACTGTCAATTATATCCTTCTTACTTGGTTCCACAGTCATCACCCTTGGTATCAGCAATCAGGAAAATGGGAGACATGTGGCATTGGGAAAGTCTGTTGTTAAGGATCTCTCCAAAGTCCTAAAGAGCAATGATGTCAGTTTAAAGACTAAAGTGAGCCTGATTCATGCCATGGTCTTTCCAATCACCTGCTATGCATCTGAGAGTTAATAATGAAAAAGGATCACAGAATTAATTGATGCCTTTGAGTTGTGATGATGTGGAAGGCTGCTGAATATCCCATGGAATGCTAAAAGAAAAATAGGTATGCCTTTGTGAAAGTTCTTTGGAGGCCAAGGATGGTGAAGCTTCATCTCCCATATTTTGCACTTATTAGGAGAGGTTATTTCTTGGAAATGAATGAAAGCAAGGAGTACCAAAATAATGTCTATCTTTGTTTCACTGATTACACAAAGGAATTTGACTATGTGGATCATAACAAACTGTGGTGAACTCTGAGAAGAATGGGAAACTCAGAACACTTGACTGTGTTAATGTGAAACCTATACTTGGACCAGGAGGCAGTTATCAAAACAGAGCAAGGAAACACTGCATGGTTCAAAACTGGGAAGGGTGTACGCCAGGGCTGTATCCTATCTCCATAACTTTTCAATCTTTATGCAGAACAGATTATCTGGGAGGCTGGGCCCTATGATGAAAAATGTGACATCAGGATTAGAGGAAGAATCATCAACAATCTGTGTTATGAAGATGACACAAGCCTGCTTGCTCAAACTGAGGAGGAATTGAGGAGGAACTGAAGCACTTGTTGTGGAAGGTTATGTCTTCAGTATGGTTTGAGGCTTACTATCAAGAAAACAAAGATTCTCACCACTAGGCTGATTGGCAGCATCAGGATGGATGGTGAAGAGATTGAGCTTGTTCACAGTTTTGGTTTGCTTGGCTCCACAGTCAACACTCTTGGCACCAGCATCCAGAATATTAAAGACGCATTGCAATGGGAAAGTCTGTGGTTAGAGACTTCTCTAAAGTACTGAAATGCAACGATGTCAGTCTGGAGAGTAGGGTGTGCCTCATACATGCCATTGTCTCTGCAGTCACTTGCTATGCATCTGAGATCTGGACAGGGACTAGGGATGATAGGAGAATTGATACCTTTGAGCTGTGGTATTGGTGAAGAGTATTGAATATACCATGGACTGCTAAGAAAATGAACATATTTGTCCTGGAGAGGGTGAAACCAGGCTGCTCCTTGGAGGCAAGGACTCTGAAGCTTCGTCTGACATACTTTGGACATGTTGCAAGGAGGGGCTGGTCCTTGGAGAGGGACATCATGCTTGGGAGGCTGGAGGGACAGTGCAGGAGAGGAAGACCTTCAATGAGAGGTATTAATTCAGTGACTGGGGTAATGGGGGTAGGTGTGTTGGAGATAGTGAGATTGGTACAGGATAGGGCAGCGTTTAGGGCTGTTGTACATAGGATCACTGTGAGTCGCAGGCAACTCGATGGCAAATAACAACAACAACAGCATTGCTTGGAAAAGGATATCATACTTGAAAAAATAGAGGGTCAGCATAGGAGAAGAAATCCTTCAAAAACATGGATTAATTCTGTGGCAATGGACTCAAATGTGTTGAGGATAATAAAGATGGTGGAGGACAGGACAAAGTTCAGATCTCTTGTTCACAAGGTCGCTATGAGTTGTACTCAACTAGACAGCACTTAACAACATCATGAGTAGGAACTGTCTCAGTGGTACCTAATATTAATCATGACTCCTTCCTTGAGTCTGCGACTTAAATGTTCTCTCATTTCTGCCAGGCCTTTGGGTACATATCCAACTGTGTCTCATACTATAGTTTCATTTGATTCTTTTTACTTACTGGCTGATTCCTGAGGACAAGGCTGACTGTTAACTTTGCAGCACCCCTGGAGTGGGTTTTAAACATGGCAATCACTGAGGAAGTCTCTGGGAACTTACTGTGGGCAGAGACCACTCACTGAGCAGACTCAAACCCTTGCATACTACCAAGAGGCAAAAAAAGGTGATATTAGCAGAGTGAGTATTCTCTCATAAGGAAGCCCACCAGTCCCTATTCTCTAAAATGTCCACCAACCACAAACTACATGTGCCCATCATTACATAACCTACCTCATTCCATCACCAGGGATATGTTAAAGATATGGCACTTGCTTCTAAAGCAGATTTCAGAGAGCATGCAGCATGCCCACATCTCACACTTACCATGTTCATGACGGTGAGGATGAACCTCTGAGCAGCTTCTGCCCCGTGGTACTGAACCATGTTGGCATCTGCCACAACCAGGGTCTCCACTGTGTACTCCTGGGTAAGCTGAATGGCATTCCTCCTCTCCCGCCAGCTCCACGAGAGTCTGTTCCTCCTTGACTTCTTATTTTCTAGAAAATGATAAGACATATGTATAGTTCTTGTTCTCTTAGTTGCCAAAGCCACACAGTGAGCAGGTCTACCACTGAGCCTGCTCAAAGAACCCAGTCAAAACTGATCAGTGTCCTCTACCATCACATGGTCAAAACTCAGTCCATTCACACATTGTAGAGGGGAAGGAGCAGATGACAGCCAGCCTGGGAGGGCCAGATGTCAAATGAACACACACTAAACCCTGAGCCTGACTTCCACAGGCAAGGAGAACTGTTAGCTTAGAGAGATCTAAGCAGCACAAAATCTGGAGAGAAGGGAATGGAGATCCACGAAGAAAGGATTTGGAGGAAGATGGCCAGAGATGTCGTGGTGATGGTGGTGGTATACTACTGAGCCAGAACCAACTCACAGCTGACCATCCAGGGGATTTTCAGACCCAGTTAATCACACAGGAAGAGACTATCCATCCTTTTTCCCTGGAGCAGCTGGTAGATTAAAACTGTGTGGCTTTGGACTGGCAGCACAACTCCTAGCCACTAAACCACCAGAGCTCCTACCAAGAGAACTCGCATACTTTCTGAAGAGTTGGACTTGCTGTTGATAACTGGAACCAAGAAAGGCAAAGGGCTGTGGACACAAAACATTCTTTAGTGATGACTTCACCCACAACTGTTCAGAGCATTGTGACCAAGGAGCTTAACTGGTAACAGGTACTAAAATGTTGTGTCAAGAGAAACACAGTTCCACAGAAATACCAGGACACACACATCCAGGCTAAGACACCGGGCCATTGTGCACAACAGTAAAGTAAAGAAAACGTGTGCACAACTCTCTGTTGACTCCTTAGCTACACTGGAATCTTAAGTTGTCAAGTAAATCTTGTTTTTAATGAAAAAAAATTTCACTGGAATCTCAGCACTAGTACAGGACATGCCTTTGCATACAGACACATCCTTTATCAACACTAACTGTACCACAGTTTGACAGAATGACTAACACAGGTTGATATGAATAACTTGCAGTTTCACAGCCCAGCTCTGAAGAGAAGGCAGTTCTTTATTTTGACAATTCTTATTTCCACTTTTAGCACTAGTCTACAAGTAGCATTATGATAGAGAAAAGATTGAAGTAGACAAGGATTTCATTTTACTTGTAACCACAATCAACATGCATGGTAACAGCTGTCAAGAAATCAAAGGAAGTGCTGTATTGGAGAAAGCTGCTGTCAAGGCCCTTTCTAAAATGCTAAAGAGCAATGAAATCTGTTTAAAGACTAAGGTGTGCCTAATTTGAGCCAGAGTCTTTGCAAATACTTTCTGTGCACCTGAAAGTTAGAAAACTAATAAGGATGACAGAACAAGAATCAATGCTTTTGAATTGTAGTGTTGGAGAAGAGTACTGAATATCCCATGGGCCATCAAAAGAAGTGCAACTAGGTTCCTAAGAGGCAAGGATGGTGAAATCTCATCGCACGTATGTTGGGCCTGCTGTCAGAATGGGCACTGTAGAGAGTGGGGAGTTTCCTCGCAAAAAGAGATCATGCTGGAAAGGAGGAGGGTGAGAGAAAAACATGACGACCCTCAACATCATAACTGTAACCATGGACATGAGTGTATCAGAGATCGTAAGGATGGTACAAGATAGGCCAAGGTGCAGATCTATTGTTTGCTGAGTTATAATTGATTTGACAGCACTTACAAACAATGACATGTCTTGTATCATCTCTGATACAAATTAAATACAGTAAAACACAAACTGCATATATACACACAAGTTCACAGAATGGCTTGGTCACTCCATAACCAAAACTACCAAAGAGCATGGAATTATCTGAGATAAGGAACATAATTATAAGATCAGTTATATGTACATAAAATGGGAGAAATAAATATAGGCATTATCCTCCTGTGAGATTTATTGTTTCCAAAACCTGTCAGATGGTCAGTTATGAGTAAATTATGAGTTTGAGTAAGTACAAATAGAATCAACCTAGTATCATTAACAGGAAAGCAGTGAAGAGAATGGAAAGGAGGAAATAAATGGATAGACAACACACATTTCATTGGAATAAGTGAAGGAAGGACAGTGTAGAGTGAACAATCACACATTGTGTGTACTGTAATTAATTACTTTGAACAGGATATGTAGATTAACTGAAAAAAAATGCTAAAGAAAGGTTTACATACAGATACATCTGTCACAGAGGGTTGACAGGGATAGTAGGTTGGGGGAAGAGGGGCAGAGATTAGTAGATGGATAGGAACAGACAAGAACCAACCTTGCCCCATCCTGCACCATCCACATGATTTCCACCATACTCAAGCCCATTGATGCAGCCACTGTGTCATTACATTTCACTGAGGATCTTTCTCTCTTTCTCTGACTCTCCACCTTTCTCAGTATGCCTTGACAAATCCAAAGTAAACAAAACAAAGTTTGACCATCCTTGCCTCTAAGGAACACCCTGGTTACATTTTGTCCAAGACATGTTTGTTTATTCTTTTCAAAGCCCATGGAATATGCAATGCTCTCTGGCAATACTACAATTAAGAGACATGAAATTTGTTTTTTGGTCTTCTTTATTCATCGTCCAACTTTCACATAAACATGAAGCAAATGAAAATAGTATAGAAATATCCCTAGGTGGATTTCAACTTTCCCCATCTTCCCAATTAGCAATCTATTAGCTGTCTGCACCACCCAGGGACTTCCTAAACCACATTAATCACATATTTTCATAGATGTCAAAACTCACAGGTTCTGGACACGTTTAATGTAAATCAAATAATCATTTTAGAATAACTTGGATGCTTCATTTGTATCATAGCAGAAATTTCTTGGGATGGGCAGGCAAGACCATTGGCTATCTGGAGAATCTTATTCACAGGCATTACAAGTACAAGAGGAGTGGTCCTTATTCCACTCACAGGGAATGATCACATCTGTGTCAGGCCCCAAGTTCTATCCTGGTGTCACATTCCAAAGATAGTCTTGGAGTTAGGCTTATATGTTTATTGGCACATTGCCAGTCGTCATACTGACATGATAGAATTCAATCTCTGGTTTTACTTTGTTCTCTTACTTTTTATTTTCCTTTTGTCCCAAATAATTAATTCATATTGTTGTTGTTGTTGTTATGTGCTGTTGAGTTTCCTGGAACTCATAGTGATCCTATGTACAACAGCTCTGAAGCCTGCCCTGTCCTGAGCCAGTCCCATTGACTTTGACACACCAACCACCCCAGTTACTGAATCAATTCATCTCATCGGGGTCATCTTCTCCTGCACTGCCCCTCCACCTTTCCAAGCATGATGTCCTTCTCTAAGGACACATCTCCACTGGCCACATGCCTAAAATATGTAAGACAGCTTCCAAATCTTTACCTCCAAAGACAAATTTAGTTTCACCCTCTCCAAGATAGATCTATTTGTTTTTTTGGTGGTCCATGTATATAGTCATTAAATGCAATCAAATAAGCACCAACCCATAGTTGACAACTCAAGCAGGTTTTCAGAGCCTGCTAATTACACAGGAGGCAACTACCCAGCTTTTACTGGAAGATAATCTGGTGGATTCGAATTGCTTACCTTTGGGTTGGAAGTAAAACTCTTAATCCACTAGGCCACAAATGCCTCTCATATATTTATGTTGTTGTTGTTGTTGTTGTTGTTGTTGTTGTTGTTGATTGCCATTGAATTGAACATAACTCATAGTGACTCCATGAATAAATGACCTAATCTCATTCTATAACTATCGTCGTTTCTCCAAGTTCATAGAGTTTCCATAGGTATGTGGTTTAAGAAGTGGATGTGGAGATCCAAGATGGCAGCGGAGGCAGAGACAGCGTGGTGAGCTGCGGGAGCAGCGAACCACTTAAAGCAGGGCCATTATGGCCTTCTACAGACTTCAGCTTATTGATAACAGTTGATGACTGGCCCTCAGTGAAGATCGAGGCTCAAGAACAGGAATTCAAGGATTCCCAAGGAGGAATGGGTAAGTCTCATGGCTCCCAACCCCCGCCCGCAGAGCCCCCTCCCACAGAGCTGATGCAGCTCCATGAGGCTTCCACAGTTGGAACCAATGGATTCCCTCACCCAGGATGGATGCTGGGCTCCAGTCCTCCTCAAGACTGGTACAGTGAAGCCACCACACTGCCGCAAGGTGGACTTGTTCTGGAGAGAATTCTTGGAGCCAGAATGGTGGCAGTGGGGGAGGCGCGCAACCTGCTGGCCACCTGCGTAGGAGGTGGGGGTTGGGATGCATGCCCACCATCTGGAGGTTTGGGTTTCCTAGGACAGGCCAAAGAAGATGATTACCTATACAATGGATTGTTGAAAGTCACTGTGTGTCTGATGACCTTAACAGTGGACAAAAGGACCCAAATCCTAAATGCACCACATATTTTGTTCTGTTGAATGCTTCTGCCAAAAGATGGTTAGACCTGGGGGGAGTCTGTTCACAATTCTCAGGTTCCCTTTATCATATATAAAGGGGGAGGGCAGTGACACCTACTTCAAAATATAGTATGACCACTTATGGGGGGGTAAAAGTGGCAGTGCTGGAATTGGAAACACTATCCCTGACCACAGAGTCCTCAGTCAGGCGAGGGGACCAGACTGGGGTAGGGGCAATTGGAGGGGGAGTATACCAGCCAGCTCCTGGGGGGTGTTGCCCTGCTCGGGATGGGCTGTCTTCCGCCCCCGGCTCGGGGCTAGCCATCGTAACCCTCTGTCCGGGGCGGGCTGCCCTCAGCCCCCGGCTCGGGGCGAGCTGTCGCGGCCCTCTGCTCGGGGCGGGCTGCCCTTGGCCCCCGGCTCGGGGTGAGCTGTCGCAGCCCTCAGGGTGAGCTCCTCAGTCCCCAGATTGTGCCATCTGACCCCTGGGTGGGGAAGGGAAAAAAATAAAAGAATGCCTAGGGTATCCAGAGAATGTTACCTAGGCCACCTTCTGCCAGCCTCTCCCCCAATAAACCTGAAAGCAACACCCTCAAAGCCTTCTATTTGTAACTCACAAGTTT